AGAAATAGGTCACAGAAGCAGTTTGCGGGTTGCCTGCCTCGCGCAGTCAATAGAGCCGAGCCGAAAACCCACCGCGAAAACAGAAGATTTGAAGATCTCACGGCTGAAGATGATGTTTAACTTCCTGACAGTAAAGCCATATTCAGGAATGAAGATGGAGGCAGCAGGTTAGCTAGAGAGACGAGAGGTCAGGAGAGTCTGAAAGGAAGGGGGTTTCTGTACGTACATTTGCTCTGTTTCGATCCTTCGACAACTTGCTCAAAGTATTTCATGAGGTGACACACGTCAGCAATGGCCAACAATAGCATAAGCAGGTTTAAAAAAGTAATTCATAATAAGTCAGGAGAGGGAGATTATTAATAATAACGGTATACTCTACCTACGTTTCCTAACAGCCAGCAGAATGTCGCGGGACCTTGACTCGTCTTGACAGATATAGTGGCAACTACGAAGGCAACTCTCAAAATAACTTTAGCGTTGTATATAGTACAAGTTCACATAGCGTTACAACACAGAAGGCCAATACTGACGGTCACTATAGGAGAAAGAACAGATGCTGTGACAAAGGCTTGACGTTTGGTTAAAAATAAAAGACAAAGCCTGCCCATTAAGTTACCTTTATCTGTAATTATGTATGTGAGGCAATATTAAACACGACCATGTTCGCGTGCACCAACACAGAAGCTGGGATTTGCGTTTTACCCATCTTCTTTGCACATGGGAAACTCGAGTGTCGACGGGGAAATGTGTCTCTGTGGCAATTAAAGGAATATCCTCTGACGGCCGTCAGTAACAAAACAGCAAAACTTGTGTTCAGTTTCATGACGCGTATTGCATTGTCATTACTAAATAACACATTTCACACTTTTCATTTAGCAAGAGACTACTAAGTACTTTAACAACGATGCTACAAGTACAGAAGTTGAAGAAAGAAGAACGTGAACGAGCTTCGCAGTCGAATTGACTGAATGAAGAGAAAAAACATTATAATAAAATCTGTACGTAAAGTGCATAAACTATTCCCTGATTAAAATTCATTAAGACAACATCATTAGCATTACTGCTTCATATTCGGGAGGTCCAGGGTAGAAATCTAGGCACTAAAGCCGGCTATACTGACTGAGATTTCTGTAGTTCCCTTAGTGCCATCAGGCAAATGCTGGGACGAGTATAGTAAGGACCAGATTAATCGCGTGTTCTTGGCGCGGGGGTGAAGGGCAAGGTGATAAGCACTGCGCGCGCACCTTAACGCCTTTATGTTATCATAGTACCCGGCCGTTCCGTGCACCGACCAGGCCGTGCCGAATGCAACTATCCACAGCTCAGCTAGCAAGTAATCTGGTCCATACTGTACTTAATTTAAGCAAATACAGCTTCCTTCCGTCTTTTCCAATTGATTATTCACTTATCAGCTATTAACAGCGCCGTTAAATAGGCCAAACCACAAATAAAATTAATAAGATAAGCATGAATGGTCAGAAAGCAAGGATTAAGAAGGTGGTGGTAGCGGTTTATGCGAAGTTACTTGTTACTGGACCAATGTTTCTATCAGTGTGTGTGTGTGAAATGCACTAAAGCTGCACTTCAGAATGGTTCTGAAAACAAAAATTAAAAATTGAATTCCAACTGGCCAGTGGAAAATTTTTCATATAATTTGTTTAATAAATCGTAAAATATTGTCCCTGGGGAAAAAAATCTGTTGGCAAATATAAATGTAACGTATCACAAATATGGTCGTTTTGTGTACATAGATATACGTGTTCACAAACTAATCGTTCCTCAAAAAGTAACAAACAATGGAAATTTGGTAATTAATCTTACAACATTAGCCCAAAACAATTATCGACAACCCAATATTATTTAAACATAAAGATGTCCCCCAAAAAGATGTTTACACACATTCAATTCATCAAATAAAAAACATTTCAACAAACTAAACCATTACACACGTCAGCATTGCTATTTAGTGAATTAGAAAAATCTACTGCAGTTGTTCAAAATGACCACCGCTAGCTTTGTGGCACAGCTGACATCGGTGACCAACCGACTGACAAGAGGCCACCAAAGTGTATACGTGTATACATATTTTTGAGACATTCTGTACTTACTTGTTAGGTCGTAGAGTGAAGTTGTAGTTCATGCACGAACAATTTCTGTTGCGGCCCAGGAGCCGAAATATTTAGCAATTTCTAAAATAGCGACAGGATGAGGGATTTCAGCCAAATAAATAAGAAAGCCGATTGTGTGACCACTGACAGACACTTGCTGGAATGTATAGATGTCAGCGTCAGCAAAGTGTAAACGAGGTACATTCTGGATCATAATGATCATCAGAGTCAATCGACGAGAGTCAGGCCAGTAACATAATTAGTGGATGCAACGCTTGTCGACATGGAATTATGGGCTTTCTGGCTGTTATATGCTAATCGCTGGTCATACGGGGCTGTTTCACGAGTAAGTGAATCCTGGGAATGATCTGCCATGTGCGGAAGGGAGTCAGGAAACACATTAGGGACTTATCATCACTCAGCAGCAGTCAAACCGAGGCTAGGAGCCAAAGCCAAAGCTGGAGAAATATGGAAACAATCTTCATTATTGTTAAGATAATTTATTTCGTCAATATTGTCATCCTTTGTGACATACGTGTACACAGAGAGCCAGATGCATAATTTACAAAAATTCTGTCCTATCCTATGACACCTCACGAACTGAAGGACTGGACCAGCCACGTTACCAAAATATTCCATATGATTTTCCCTTCCTGAGGGTACTACCAGAGACAGGGTATACGAAAACTTCGAAGGTACTGATACTGATAGCCTACCGAAAGGTGATTCTCGTATCAAGTGTGTGGGGTACCTGAGGATCATAGAAAGAAGTGGCTGGAATAGGCCACGGCTAGGATAATCA